AGTTCAGGTTATTACAGCGACTTCCTCTATGCGGATTTCCTCGACCATACCTTCCCACGAGGACCTAGTCCGCCCATGTACAGTACCTACCATTTCAACACTCCTCAAACCCTTACCTCCCACGGCAACACTTCACAACTGCATGATTCATCGTTGTACATGGTTTCGAAGGTCGACACCCCGACTACACAAGGACCTGATCTGTCGTTCAGCATATCGTCCACTTTGCACCTGCCCACTCCTTTTTCAACATATAGTGCTCCTGGATACAGTCATCCACTGAGCTCAATGCATGCGGCCACCCCTTCACTATATACGTCTTCAGTTTCACCACACCTTCTGCGACAGAACCTGCGCGCAGAGAAGCAACCTCTGTTACACCCTTTCCCTCTTTGCAGACAGTTAAGTTAATACTAATAAATTTTAATTCAGTCTCTTCTTATTCTTTGAAGTGAGCGTTATAACAAGAGTACTGCATGACGTAGCATCTCTTCTAGGCCAATTTTATCTTCATCGATGCGAGACAAGCAGAGAAATTTCGTAGAACGAAGCAGCTCACCTCAATTCCATCGACAGCGAAGCTTACTCAACACTGGCTGCAACGGAGTAAATAAGAGTTTCTGGTCGTGCTGTTTTTCTGGTCAGAGTAGGATGCTTACGTGCAGAGCATAATAATACAGCTCACTGAGTGGATTAAGGACAAAAAGTCGGACTTCCTCGATATGCATTCAATCGGCTAATGCCGTTTGGATTCCAGAAATTTCGGCTCCGAGCTCATTTTCAAATTGCCTATGCCATCAAATCCACTAAAAACTTGTATATAGGGGTAATTCAACATCCTGATTACGAGTGTGACAATCATGCTTGGCGCTGGCGCCAAGACCCTACGATTACCTCCTGGGCTCAGCCTTAGCAGAGCGCAGGTAACCGTAGTGTCACCCATTAGCGCCAGTGCCAAAAATGAATGTCATATTCGTGATCAGGATGTTGAAGTACCTCTATATACAAGTTTTTAGCGGATTTGGTGATCTTGCCACTTTTAAAATGAGCTCGGAGCCGAAACTTCTGTAGTGCAAACAGCATTAGCCCATTCAGTCCTGTTCTACTTGGATTTTGGTATTCCTTCGGAAAGGCTTTCAATGTTCTTCTAACGCCAATGTCATTTTTGTGGGCCATAAACGAATAGTTAACGGTGAAATCACGTAATGTCATGTATTATCTGCTCGTAGGAAACTTGGAGTGCGCACAAAGTCGCAGTAAGGAGTGAGGAAACAAATGACCCTCAGCACACATGTACAACAACACCTCGCAATTGATGAAGTATTTTCCAGCAAGGAAGTTCTGAAAATGTTTGAAAAGGTGATAGTCGTTTGCTGAAAGGACTGGAGAATATGGCGGGTGAGGTAGAATTTCGACCCCAAATTCGTTCAATTGATGGATACTGATTTGTGAAACGTGTGGGCTGAAGAATCGGACCCTTCCTGTTGACAAGTGCTGGCTGCAGCTGACACAATTTTCGGTACATTTCATCGATTTCTTCACAGTAGGACTCTGTTGTGATGGTATGGCCTGGTACAAAAAGTTATAGTGGATCACACCAGCCGACGACCACCACACTGTGATCATAATCTTTTTTTCGCGAGGATTCGGCTTTGGAAATTGCCTCGGTGCTTCGTCGGCATCGAACCAGTCCGGAAGGTCTCCTGTCATCATACATGATCCACTTTTCATCACAGGTGACAATTCGGTCCGAAAACGGGTCGCTTCTGTTGCGCAAAAGCAGTGAAGGAGAAACCTCAATACGTGCCAATTTCTGCCGGTCACTCAAATTGTAGGCACCCACTTGACGAGTTTTTTCACCTTCCCAATGCGTTTCAGACCATCCGATACAGTGGGTTTGCCAACGCCTAGCTTTTCTGCAATCTCTCGAATGTTTGGGATGAGTCAGCCTCCACAAACGCCTTCAAATCCTCGTCAGGATGGGCGTTGGGCCTTCACACATGGTTAATTCGTCGAGCTGTCTCCTGCGGATTGACCCAATTCATAGTTGAAGAAAAATATCGTCTGAAGTTGCTCTTTTGACATGCTTAAAGTTTTGGGAAAAGAGGGTTTATCAAGCAATGGTGGAACAGCAATTATACCGTCAGATAGCGCAAAAAAATTCTCTTCAGGATATAATAAGCGCAAAAAAACTCTCTTCAGGATATACTAAGCGCAAAAAAATTCTCTTCAGGATATAATAAGCGCACAAAAAAACTCTCTTCAGGATATACTAAGCGCAAAAAAATTCTCTTCAGGATATACTACTGACCATGAGACGCACGGAAGAATGAGTTTTTTTTAATCAGCAATGAATGTACAAAAAATAGTAGCATAAAACGCTGAGAATTTTCCGGACAACCTAATAAATGTCGCGAAAGTTCGTCTGCGCACTCGGGAAGCATAGAAGGAAAAATGTCATATCCGTGATTTTGACGTTGAATGTACGGTTTTGGCCAACGAAAAGGAAATTGGTGCCAGAAAAACGCTACAAATATCTCTAACCAAACATCGAGATCAGAGTATGAATACCAAGGATGGGTGCTTTTTAAACATCTGAGACGGTAATAATCTGGCTCGAAGTGGGAGTTGGTACGTAACCATTAGCTTCCAATGAGGGAGGTATGTCTTCTCCCAAACAGGTTGCTGATGCCTTCCGGCTACCCAAAACGCCTATCTGCAAAGCCCTGAGTGAAGATGGTCGAGGTTATGTCATCGTTACCACGACCTCGAGTCAAAATTGATTTCATGCATTGAAGTGCGACGTAGCCACGTCGCAGTTGAACTCCCAACCACCAGGATGGCAAGGCAGGGAGAGATAACGCGTGGTGGAGAGACGCGCGGTCGCTGTTATAAGAGGAGAACAGTCCTCCAGAGGACCTTCCAGCAAAGGTGGCCACCTGTGTATGCGAGTTTGGGGGGGGGGGGTACGCGAAGTTATTGGAAAAGTTACAGAGTAAGATTGGGATCGTAGCGAAAAACACTGGAGAGGGAGCTCGGCAGAGCGATTAAAGTCTTTGGAGAGAGTGTGGTTGGAGAGTGTAGAGACAGGGAATGAATTGGGCTCGCGGTCAAGGATACCCTTGGATTGCTGCTCTTCTTGGTCTTTTTTTCTGTAGTTCGGTTCCCCCGTGTCGGGTTTTTTACCTGCCAAAGTCAGGCAAAATGTACGTTATCAGCAGGAAAAACAAGTAGTAAGTAGGAGAGTGAAACTGGGCGAATAATACTGGTACTCAATTTGGATCAGTCCATGTTTAACACATTGACGACCGCGCGGGTTTTTACTTTTTCGGCCTCGTGGGACACGCGCGCTTTCTCGAACGCCACGAGCGCGGTACGCGTACAATTCACGCGGTCCCACGAGACGCTTTTGTGGAGATTGGATCGGAGAACCTGGTTTAGAAAACAATTATGAAGTAAGTCAACCATTCACTATGTAAAAAACTAGACTCGCCAACTCTCGTTCCAGTAAGTGCCAGAAATTTGCCTGGACGCAGATTGTCGAGGGGGGGGGCATTTTGCTTCTCATGTGTCGACCCATTTAGGTAGCCGTTTCTCGAGTTGACACGTTTTAGGAAAGTGGCTAGACAATATCACTTCAGCTTCACAAGAGTTCACAAGTTTTACCAGGGTGAGATTTGTAAACCGGAACCAGGGAAAAATGAATGATAATACAAAATGAATGATAATACAAAATGCCCCCCCCGTCGACAAACAGCGCCATTTGCCTGTAACCTATGTTTTCAGAAAAAAAAACACAAGTCGTGTCTACTATAGGGTCCAGAATCCTTCCTTTGTATTTTTTAACGTTATCAATGTGATATTTATCTGCATTTCTTAGTAAAGTGTTGGAAAGCAAACCAATACGCTAACTGGTGACTATAGAATGGATAGGAGAAACTAAACAAAAAAATCGTGCACTAGTGAAAGATATGGATTTGTTGGTCGTGATTCGTATTCAATGCACGCGGTCCCACGTGGCCTACAGAGTGTCCATTCAATGCGTATCACGCGGTCGTCACTGTGTTAGTACTAACAGGAATGTATGATGGCTGTGGAACACCTCTCTAGGTTTCTGCGAAATCACATTGGATAATAAGACAGTTGTATTCAATCGTACAAGCAATTATGTACAGGTAAAGTTTGTAATGATGCAGTGGGGTAGAGGCTCGGTGGTTAGCTGTGAAGCATAAACGAGGAATCCCATAGAGGTAAAAAAATGTAGTGAAGATGTTTCTATCTACTCTTATCAAGATTGTCATCCCTCATCAGTGTCCTTCTCACAAAATCTCTGTAATTTTGTACTTTAAAAGCTCCACCATTTGAATACCGACGACCACTGCGACTCTTACCAGCCCCTATCAGTTGTTAAGACTTCTTGTCACACGCCGTTGATGCCCCCATCCCTCTGTATCACCCGCTGGGACCAATGTATCGCTGACGCTGTGACCTGCGATATGAATGCAGTGACCTTGCCTTTCTAACGCCAGTTATCATATCTTATCAGCTGTCAATCCTTCTTGTCACCCACCATTGATGTTTCCCATACCCTAGATTATAGCTTGGAATCAACGCCCAGCTGATGCTGTCATCCGTGTTATGAACGTGGTAACCTTCCATGCACCTCATCAAATATTATTAGCAGATATCGCTTCCCAGCACCCACCCAAGGTGTTTTCATTACACCCCTCAAATCACTACTTGGACTGCTACTATGACGGGCGCTGTGAATCTCGTGACAAACGCACGCACGCACGCACGCACGCACGCACGCACGCACGCACGCACGCACGCACGCACGCACGCACGCACGCACGCAC